ACACATGAGAGGCATTTACATAAAAACTCACAGTAATGAAGCAGAGGACAGAAACCGGAGAGCTACAAACACACGTCATACAAACTTAGAAATCAAACAAACTTCAACATATACGTAACGAACGCACAGTAATGAAGCAGCGGACAGAGACCGGAGAGCTACAAACACATGTCATACAAACTTAGAAATACAACAAACTTCAACATATAACATGACATGAAAAACATTGCATCATTCACATGGAACAACTTCAGCCGTGTTTAGTTCAGATATTTAAGTCCGCTATGGAAAGTTATATGGATATAATGCTTCCTCAATGCATCCACTGGAGTCTCTCTGCCTGGGCGTTTGACACAGACCCCTCCCCTCCCTCGATCTGTCTGACAGAGCATGGAACTACCCGTGAGAGACAGAGAGAAAGAGAGAGAGAGAGAGAGATGGTTAGCTTTGAGCTTGAGTACATGAGCAGTCAATAACATACAGACAGTTAGCGACACTCTGGGCAGCACTGATAGCAGAACTAGAACGTTTTGTTTATTAACATCCCATTCTAATATATTTCATATTTATCATTTTACATGTTTAATAAAGGTTTATTTGAACTAAATATCTTCATCACCCTTCATCACTTTTGTCATTGTGCTTCGTAACCAGTAGGTCTTCTTAAAACTTGAAAGTTTGTCCTGTTGTCACCTGTCCTGTTTTATCTAATAATATGCATTAAATACATTGCATAGCGAAGGATTGTGGAAAGTAGACAAATGTAATACAAATACAAAAAAGCTTTTTATTTTCTATAAAGGTTTTTGGGTTTAAGGAAAATAAAAAAAAAACCAAACAAACAAACAAAAAAACCCCGTGTCATTGCATAGTGAAAATAAAAAAAAACAAACAAAAAAAATTGCATAGATTTTCACAGAATACAGAAAGCAAACTGGACAATCCTATTGATGACTCACTGATTTATACAGAAAATAATGGAAGAAATGATTGGTTAAAATATAACCATCTCGTGGAAGCTTTGCATATTCGCAATCATCGTGATTCTAAACACAAAATATATATATATATTTTTTAATATTCACTATGTTTACCAAAAGTATGGACACCGTAAAATACTTGATTATGCAAAACTAATTTGTACAAGAAGAAAATACTAAAAAATACAACTTTTTTCATAATTATTTCAGTAACTTATGAATAGCCCTGTGATGGGTTTTCTTCGTGAGGACTTCCATCTGAATTTTCTGTCTCTCCCTCTGATATCACCTGCATCAAGGCCAAATATGGTCTACTTCGGGCACTGTGTCGGCTGTTGGCAGGCGGCAGGATCCTTGAACGCCCCTGTCCAGAACTGAAGAATACTGGGGAGGATCTGGGGAAGTATCCATCAGCATTTGCTCTAGGAAGGAAATCGATCTGACCAGAATTCTGCTGCAGGGGAGAAATGCTCTGCTCCTCTGGCTGTTGCAGCAGGAAAGGGGACTCGGACAATACGTCCTTCTGAGATTTATGCACAACGGGGCTTTTGAGAATGTCTGTTGCGGACATGCGGTAGTTTGAGTTCGAGCAACTGCCCTTCTTCAGCAGTAACTGTTTAAAATCTTCTTTAGAGGTACTGGATTTCTTGACATTCCTGTATATGGGTACAGGGACTTTCTGCAGGCTCGGCAGCGTGACAGAGGAGGATGACATTTTTGGGAGCAGAGATCTTGCAGCACCGTTCATGTTGCTAGTGATTGCTCGGCTTCCTGATGCAAAGGCAGGACAGGTTGCTGGCAGCTTGTTGAAGTCCCTCGGACCTAAGACTTTCCTTTTAGACCTGGGGATGAGAAGATGCTTTTAGGGTGTGCTGTGGATTGAAAAGTTCAGGGGGCTCGTTCTAAGGTTCTCACCTGTGAATTATGGTAAACAGATCTTCGGTGCTGTGAATTTTGGAGAGTGGCGGATCATCGGTTCCTGACAAATCCCTCAAAGGAGACACTGCGTCACTTTCTGGGGATGGTGAGTCTGTTAACATACAACTCAAAAGAAGTAAATTCTTATGATGTTTTTGTATGTAATTTTAAAAAAAACGAATCAAACTATTATAAAAGATGATATTAAATTTTTTTTTTTTTGCATTACAATGCAACTAAGGATGAGAACCATTTCTAATTTCCAAAGCTAAATTTGGTTGGTTCACACTCATGCTATCCGATTTTAGTCTTAGAGAGTTTGCAACATGGCTGTGAGGCAATAGTTGTGGTTGCGTTTCACAGCAGTGACACTACATTTGCAAGACACCCAGAACTCAACAACAACAAAGTGAGAAAATATCTACATAATGCAGAGACATCTCGCAACGAACTTCTAACTTAAACACCGCGTTCACCATCTTCGCTGTTGCATACGGCAAGGTGTTTCAGCAGCAGTTTGCTTCAAAGCTTGGACTCAAGGTCCTTTTCAAGGACTGCATGTGAGATTAAGAGTTCGTCAAATAATTTAGATGTAGTTTTAAGAAGCGTTATATGCATTAAGTTTGACAATATTTGTGTACAAGAATTCTTCAAAATACCAGATAAATAAAATACCTTTCATGGCGTAGCCATCTGATGACTCATGTTTATCTTCCTCACTGTCATCCTCGATATTGTTTTTATTCATAAGAACCCACTCGGATTTGCTTTCGGCAGCCGACCCCTCGATGGGGTCGGAGCTGAGCAGGGGAGCAGAAGTCGAACACGCATCTTGTTTTTTCAATGTCTTCGACTCCTCGCATGTAACTTCGGTCTGTCTCAAAGAGTCCTCACCAATGTCCGCTGCTGTTTCTGACAATAAACTGTACATTTCAAAACTCTCCAGCTCGTCCTCCTCACACCTTGTCTGGCCGAAACGCTCTACGGGTGACACTAGGGCTTTACCCAGCTCATCTAATGATACAAAATGTAGATGTGATGCAGATGCGCACGTTAGCATCTCCTTCTCACATTTGTCAGTGAGGGATCGTTGCATCACTGAGTCAAGAGTGACGGGTATGCCTGTTGAGCTGAATACTTTACAAGAATTTGGTATGTTCTGTTTATTTTGAGTGTTCATTTCAATGCCCTTCCTGTATTCCATAATCGTGTTACCATCATCACTCGTGGTCGTTTTGTCTTTTTTCTTGATGGACTGCCACTGTAGAGACTGAGAAGAAAGGGAAGACATCCTCTCCGGGACATTGGGCTTGCTTTTGCCATTAGGTGGTGACAGTGGCGCAGGGGCGAAAGATAAAGGGAATGAAGAGGTGTGGGTAGGGTAATCACTCGAGTAACCGCAGGACGGGCTTGTAATTGTGGTCGGCGTCGTGGGCGATATTGCCTTAAACTCGTCATCTGTTGGTGACGGTGAAGCAGCGGTGTCACACTGGCACACCAACGTCATCTGGTATCTAATATGCTCATCGACCGTCTTATCTTCACTGGAGTTCAACGAGGGTTGAGAGGAATCGCTGAATTGTAAGCCACTTTGAGAAACACTGGTTTGCATGATACCCTTGTCTTTAAATTGACCCGAGAAGCTCAAAACAGCTGATTCAAAAGGATCATCTGGGAGAAGCCACTGCCGCATTGCTGATGGTCCCCTGCATAAAAACGAGTATTCCGACTGACCTGTAGTGCTGGTTGAAACCAGCCGAGGTTTCTCCTCCTTAGCGGATAAAAAAGGCAAAAAATGTTTTGCTTCATTTTCATCAGGGTGGTTCTCCAGATTGCATATGGTTGTCAACGATGAAATCCTCTTCGGCGGGTACGGTTTTATTTTTGATTTCCTTAAAAAAAGACAACTTCGGCCCAAAGTCTTGGAGTAACCCACATCTGACAGGACGAAATCCGAGCCAGATGGTGTGCAGTCGCTGTACACGTAGCTCGCGCTTCTCCTTAGGCCGCAGTCAAAGTGCATGGATGTGTAATATCCTTCCGTGTCCACAGAGCAGTGTGACACGGTGTCGGCTTTCTCGGATGGCGTTTTGTCAGATAAGCTGCTCTCGCATGTGACTATACTGGTGAAACTGGAGCAAGCAAGGATGTTTTCCACCTTGTCGGGACTTAAACGCTCAGATCTCGAATGCCCGACATGGCTGTTACTCCACTCCTGCTCAACGGCTGTTTCAATACCGGCGCTTTCCAGTACGTCCGTGACAGTGGAGGAAAAAGAGCCTGAACGCTGAGCCCTCGGGTCCGGACAATGGTCGAGAACGAGGTCGGCGGAGTCATCGTTGGCATGGGTGGGGCTAATCAGAGAGAGCTCGGAGTCACTCTGACACGAGCTGGTAAGTGACGAAGATGCAGCAGGAGGCACTGTTTCTGATGTCTGTGAGGGACAGGTGGAGCTGCTGCCACTCCAGC